CAGGAATAATGCTCTGCAGTGCATTGGGAGGATTACACAAAATCTATCTAGGTCCATTTACCCAATAGTAACAGAGAATTTTCTATACCTTAAAAAAAATTATGTAAAAAGGTACCTGAAACAGGGTTTAATTCTGACCCCAGGTCAATGTCTTCTATTGTTATAACATCCGAGTCCTGGGTTCTATTTTTCCCTGCATGTGTTACTTTTTCTGTGTCTGTCTGTTTGGTGCAAGACACTTCATTTTTTGAAGTTTTGGATTTTAGTTCCACCTCTCCTCTGTCAATTTGTTTTCTTCTTTTTGATTTGCAGTCCTCAGTTTCTTTCCTTTTCCTCTTAGCTTCTTTTGGATTGTCAGAACTAATCTGATCCATTTCAGAATGTGTGGCTTCACATTTATTTACTAGTAAGTGAAGATTAAAAATAGATTACATCATTTCAGGCCTTTACATTATCTCATTCAATTTTTTACTATGTAATCCATATTTTTATATGTTTCAGTCAAAATTACTCAAAATAAGATTACTGTAATTTTCTTCAATTCAGCTTTTCTTTGCTACAGATTTAAATTTTTTTTTTCCTGGCATCAGGACTTAAATACTTTACTGACCTTGTTTATTGCTTTCAGAAAGTACACGTTCAGTTTGCTTTTTCAAAAACTGGTTAAAATACAATCTTGCAGGAAACTCCAGGTTAGAAGATTTGATCTCTTCTAATAAACAATTCCTTTGATTTTTAGGAAAAACTGGTCTCCATCCTGACAACTGCAATATATAAAAGGCATTCAAAACATATCAGATAAACTTATGTGCAAACTTTCAGTGTTGGAACACCATTTATTTTTGTTAACTGGCTTGGTATGCACAATGATTATCAGAAAGCATCTGGAACCTTTTAGCATGCTTAAAGTAGAAGTTTAACCAAGTATATGTTAAAGTAGTAATCAGTGTTGCTCAGGGTGAAAGTCACAGGATTTTTTTTTTTTTTTAAAGAATAAAAATCCCAGGATAAAGACACTATATTTCAATTGACCCGTTATTTTCTTAGCAGTAAAAGACTTAAAAATACGAACCATGAGTGATGAATTGTTGCTACTAGGTTTTGAACTTATAACTGAGAATTCACCAAGTGAAACAGTGAGTTTTGTGACATCAGTTACGTTGGTATTTGGTTCCCTTAGCTTAGCTAACAGAGGACACAATGGTGATGTCAACCTCCACAGCAAACTACCTATGTAAATATGGAAAAAAATCATTAAAGAAATGAGAACCCAGCCCCCCAAAGACCAAGCTTCCTTAGTAAAGAAATAAACTGTACTATTTTGCATGACAAGATGTATCCATGCTCTCAAAACCAAATTAAATAAATATTTCAACATCTTTGCATCTATTGTCACCATCCCAAACCAGCTAAACAATTTCATATACATTCCACACAATTCCAACTGCTTTAATGTCACACTGAGCCCAACAAGAAATCTATTATGCTAAACTGACTTACTCAAACACTATTATTGGTTATTATATATATTTTAAAACATACTCTATACATCTACCCATTAATTTATCTAGCTAAGTATTACTATCGTCTAAATTTCATTTTTTTAAAAGGAAAAAAAGTGCCTGCTAATTATACCACCCGAAGTATACTACAAAGTTTTATCTTTGAACCTCTAGTTTTTAGAGATCTCCTAAAGATCTACTTTAAAATTTACAACATAGGTTTACAGATGAGTAAATTAACTTACAGTCATCCTTCTGCTGTACATGGACGACTGTCTGAAAAGAAGAACTGGCCACAGAATATGCTTCCATTGCTGCTGCTTTCTTTGCAATGTATCTTTTTAGGGACTCTGGCAAACCACTCATCAAAAATTCCCGTTTTGCCTTGAATTGCTCATCATCTTGAGAATTTTCAGATACATCTCGACTTCAAATAAGTGAGAAAAAAAAAACAACATTCAAATGTGCAAGCACACACAATTCACAGGTAAGTTTTATCCATATTAAGCACTGATTCCCTTTAGTATGTAGTGGAGACTTTAGTGTACTAATTGTTTGGAAAGATTGCTAGGGTTTACCAAGACCAAAAAGGTTTGAAAAAAGCAGGAGTACACACTTATCTTCCAGCCTCCTACACTTCTAAGACACTTTAAAAATATAGTTCCTACTACAGTTACTGAATAAATGCAGGTTTGGGTTTAGAGCGACTAGTAAAACCCATTAAATGAAGTAGCAACAATACCATAAGAGTCAGCTTGAAAGCTCTTGGGATTTAACACGCATAATATTTTTATATTAACATTCAAAACACTGTTACTGCATTTTGATAGATGTACTTAATGTAGTAGTGTGAGAAAGTTTTCTAAAGAAACTTGAATACTTCGATCTGACACTGAAGGAATACCACTAATTTCTTATAAAATAATTCAAGTTTTCTCTGGAGAGAAATTTGGAGAGAATTAGGAATCCAGTAAATTTGAATTTTATGGAAAACTAACCTGCTTTCATCAAAGATTACAATTGGTTCATCACCACAGTTTTGAGCTTTTTTGCCCAGGAATGAAGGAGGGACACTCGGTTTTCCTTTAAAAGACAAAGGCGAATTAAATTAGCATTGGTTTTATTGCTAGATTTGTGTTTTCATTTTAATTTTATCTTCCTATTCCTTTAAAAGTTGTCTCACTTTAGAGAGACTCAGATTAAGCAATACAAGAAAATATAATTGTTAATGCTTTTCTCTCTCTCATTTTACTTTTACCTTGCAAATTTAACAGCCTTCTGTATATAAACAGTTTCTCCTGTTTTAAAATATGATTAAAAAGCCAAATAAAAGAAGAATACAAAAGAAAGGGGTAGTACCAGAAATTAATTATTATTTAAAAATAGTCTTTGAAATTGATAATGATCCCGTAAACAGAGGGAAACAAAGAGCGCGCACACAAATGGCTGCTATGCTATTAATTCTGATGGAAGATAAATATTACATATTAGTTTTATTTTTGATTTGTATACCAAGTCTTATGCTACATCTAGACTAAAAACCTACCATACTCTGTAAAATGACACCACCTTCATGCATGCTACCACCTTCCCTCAACCAGAAGCTGTATAGCCAAGTCCCCATGACAGCCTAAATCGGAGTGGGCAAAATATGGCCTATGGTGTGGGGAGTGCAGCCTGCCCAGCTGCCTCTATTGCAGGGGCTCCGCACCATGTGCCCGCAGCTCCCACACTCGCAGCAGGGAAGCCCCATGCTGGACTCCACGGGGAAGCACGGGGCTCCCTCCACTGCAGACAGA